AAGAATTGGTTGTCAAGCCAAGCTTGCTACCTGTATGCACGATCCAGAGACTCCAAAGATGCAACAATTTGAGCTCTGGTTAGTGGTCGCATAGTACATAACATAGTGCACTGCTTAGTGTGCTGATGAGACAAGGTTGGTGGTTTTAATCTACCCAGCTGCTCTACAGAAGAAAAATGGGCAGTCTCTTGTCAAGATTTACCCCAAGAGAAAGCAATAATAATAGAACACTGTGAGTGGACAGAAGGGCAGGAAATGGTTAAGTGTTGTAAGGCGGGGAGTTGCTAACTGCAGCTGAGTGAGTAAAAGGCCTGACAGAATAGTTTTAGAATGTTGTTGTTGTTGTTCTTATGTGCTGTCCAGTCGCTTGCAACTCATAGCAACTCTATGTACAAGAGCCCTAAATGCTGCTCTATCCTGTGCCAACCTCGCCATCTTTGACTCACTCACTCTCACCACTCCAATAACAGAATCAATCCATTTCATTGAGGGTCTTCCTCTCTTGTGTCATTCCTCCACTCTCCCAAACATGATGTCCCTCTACAAGTACCAGTCCCTCCTTGCAACATGCCCAAAGTATGTCAGCCAAAACTTTAGAATCCTTGACTCCAAGAAGCAATCCAGCTTCACCTTCTCCAGGACAAACTTGTTTGTTCTCCTAGCAGCCCATGGTATGTTCAACACTCTTCTCCAACACCACAGCTCAAAAGCACCGATTCTCTACCATCCCTATTCACTGTCCAACTCTCTGATGTATAGCACGTAACTGTGAAGACTATAGCCCCAATCAGGTGCACCCGACAGCGTAAATCTTTAGTACTCAGAGTTTTAGAATTAAAAAAAACAACAAAGAGAATGAATGAGATAATTTCAAAAGAAAAGACTACCTTTCACCTTGGTTTTGTGCTAAGCTGCAGCACAATTTTAGTAATTATATTTGACGCTAGGTATTAGCAAGGATTTCCAAATCTCTGTCTCTTTTGAATTCAGTTGCCATGCTGACTCCCATCACCATTTCTTCCTGAAAATCTAAATCACAGATCGAGTTTGAACTGTGATGATAGCCCTACTGCAAAGGCAGATATGAAGGTACCTATAGAATTAAGCTGAGCAGGATTCAGGCCATGGTCATTTCAATTACTTGCTATGCATCTGAGAGCCTTTCAGTTGTGCTGTTGGAGAAGAAAGCAGACTATCCCATGGACTGCCATAAGAACAAACAGACCTATATCTCAGAAAAGATGCAACCAGAGTGCTCTTTGGATGCAAAGATGTTGAGTCGGCGTTTCACATACTTAGGGCATGTTGCTAGGAAATGCTATTCCTTTGAGAGTGATATCATGCTTGGAAAGGTGGAGGTTCAACAGAAGAGACGATCTCCAGTGAGGTGGATTGGTGCACAATGACTGCAGCAATGGGCTCAAGTGTATTAGAGATGATGAGGATGGCAAAGGATAGGACAGGTTCAGGTCTGTTGTTTACTATGAGTCAGCTCGACTCGATGGTACTCAACAAAACATCAATAACAAATTCTAATTATCTTATGCCAAAATACAAATTAACCCATTGCCTCATACTGAGTTATACTGACCCTATTAAGAAAGAAAGAATAGAAATTTCCCAAGTGGTTTACAAGGATATAAATCATTTTGAAAGCAGAATTTTTTTTAATTTTTTTTTTAATTTCTTGAAGGGTGACTGGTTACTTTGAACCACCAAGCTTTTGGTTAGCATTAGACTAATGTAATCACTGCATCATTGGGGCTCCTTTAGACCTAGTGGTAAGAAGCTGCACTGCAATCCCAAAGGCACAGAGTGCAAATCCATCAGATGCTCTTCAGGAGAAGGATGGGCAATTTCCTTCCATGTGATTAACTGCCTTTGAAAATAGCTGGAGAGTCAGCTATGGGCTGGTTCTGACTCAATACACAACAATCACATCACAGTTATTAGGGAAGCACTGGTAGTGTGCTGCTAGCCCAAACCTGCACACATCGAGCAACTGGAATCCACCCAGGGAGTAAAAGATGAGCATTCTCCTCCCGTTGTGATTTACAGCCTCAGAAACCTAAAGAATCACTCTGAGTGAGCAGTGAGTTTGAGGTGTTTCTGCTTTTCAGTCATAATCATTATTGCTAGTTCTATGGCATCATTTAGAAAAGTTAGGGCTGTTATAAGCCAGAATCAACTCAATGTCAATGGGCTTGGGTTTGGGGGATTTTGTTGTTTTTGTTGATTTCTATCTAACCTCCCCTCTCCACCCCCCTGCCCATGATCATTTTTCCTCCTTCACCAGGATGAACCTCTTAAGATCTTACATGGATCAAGCACAACTCATTTTAGAAAACAATCTTGGGCAACCCTCTCTTTATACAATTTGAATTGTGGTGTTGGAGAAGAGCACTGGATATTCCATGAACTGTCAAAAGAACAAACAGGTATGTTTTGGAAATAGTGTAGCCAGAGTGTTCTTTGGAAACAAAGATGGCAAAGGGACATCATGCATGGAAAGCTGGAGGGTCAGTGAAGGAAAGACCCACAATAAGATGGATTGATAGGGACTTCAGTAACCAGCTCTAGTGTGATGATGAGGATGGCACAAGATAAAACAGGATTCACTCAGGTCAGTTGTTGTAGGGTCTCTGTGTGTTTAATGCAACTGGATGGCACCTAACAACAACATGGTGGAATAAATAATACGAAAAGCAGGAGCCTCAGAAACACAATAATTCACTTTTAGTCCCGGTTCTGCTATTTACTGAGATGCATGACCTTGGGCAAGTTGCTCGCTGCAGCTTTCTCCCAGAAGTAGCTTTACTTAGGATGCTGGTTTTCCTCTAAGGGTAGCTCTCCTTCTCATTTCCCCTTTGGGTACTGAAAGGAGAACAGGGTCATTCCTTGCTTGAAAGTAGTTACTCTCAGTTTTATTGTTCGGATTTTTTTTTTTTTTTTTTTTTAAATTTTTTTTTTTTTTTTTTTTTTTACTAGGACAGATGAGGTAAAGTAGAGCTGCCTGCTTTTTCTCCCTGTTGTTGATTAGGATAGAGATGACAAAATTCTGGGGAATAATTTTTGAATTCTCTTGAAGCTCACACAATTCTGCTATCAATTTCATTTTGGACATCCAGTATGCCCTCTCTGGGTTTGAAAATTCACATTATCTTGTGAGCTTTTTAACCCTCTTCTTCCATAAGTGTATGGTCCTAGAAAGTTTTTGCTCAGTACTAACCCAAAGGTTGGTGGTTTGAAACCACCAGGGGTTCAATGGAGGAAGATGTGGCAGTCTGCATCTGTAAAAATGTACAGCTTTAGAAACCCTATGAAGCAAATGTCCAGCTTTGGAAATCCTACTTTGTCCTACTATGATTGAGACAGGACTGAGGGCAACGGGCTTGGCTTTTTGGTTTAGGGCCAAAGAAGTCTATGAAACAGGACAGAAAGAGCCTCTATAATTGAGGAAACAGAAAAGAGGGTAATTTTCTCCAGTTTTGATTGATATGTGTCATCTTTAGAATGTGTCATCTTAGAACTTTGGCTAAGGATTTAGTTTTGGAGTCCTTTACATATAGGCGTTCATGTGTATGTAATATATATAATGTTGCTTGGAAGCAAGAGTGGCATACGCGTCCCAAACAGCATACCTCTGGAAACTCTATGAACTTGGATAAACGTCTTTAGTTGTAGAGGGGCTTCAGGCCTTTCTTTTTTTGTTCATTGGGTTGCTATGAGTCGTGCTCAACTCGAAGGCAATCAACATTATATGTTACAGCTTCCATCATGTGGACTAGTAATAAACTTTATGCCCATATGCAGATTTTTAAGATGTGTGGTTCAAAAATTAGTTTTAACGGCAAGGCCAGGTACTCATAGTAACCGGAAAACTTCTGATAACATCATTATAAGCCCAGATTGTTTATGATGCTTTAAGCAGGACTTGGTTTTTGAGGTTTATGCCTTATTCAACAATAATACAAGCTTACCCACATAGCTATAACGTAGCCCTGTAAACCGTTTACATACAACAGAACAGGTGAATAATTTGACTGTCCGCACCCTCAAGGTCTCAGCTGGCACACGCCTGCACGATTATGGATTTATTTCTAAGCTCTGTGTTTGTAACACGTGCATTTTAAAACTGGTAACCCAACTCTAGTTTCTTAAATCACAGTTTGAGCGCTTCGATACCGGAGGACTGGAGGAGTGGGAAACAATGTCATCAGCCTAGAGATCTTCAAGGAGCTCTAGGATTGGAAAGAGAGAAGCATTCTTAGGTTGCCTAGCGATAAATCTGAAGATGATATCATTCTCCCGGAGGCCAACCTCCTCCTCCCCACCCGTCTTTCCTTCCTCCCTCTTCCCTGCCCCCTCCCACGCCCGGGTTCAAAGTACAGCCGCCCAGGGTGAGGGAGCCCGAGCCGGACGCCCTGCAGTCACGTGCAGCCGCACATGCCCGAGAGCACGCTGCGCAGCACGTGAGAGAGGGCGGGGCGAAGGGAGAGGCTGGGGGTGGACGGGGGAGGGGGGGGTGACTCCTCGCTGCCCGCTGCGCGTGCGCGGTGCTTCTCGACCGCAGGTCCCGGGGAGCCGGTAGGCGGCTGTCTGCAGGGCGAGGACAGCCAGCCGGCCGCGGGTGGGGCGGCGGCGGGGAGGGCGAGGAGGACGTCCTCTCCCAACAGCTGCGCCACTCCCTTCCCCGCTGCGTTTTGGCGGGCGGGTCCTGTGTAGTCATCCCTCCCGAATTAAATTAGCTGGCTCTTATGACTCTGGATTCCCCGAACCCTTCTGACATTGCAGTTTCCGAATGAGCTCCTGGGCGCGGGTTAGAGGAAGGCTATTGGCCGCCTCCGGAGGGCTTCTGGGTCGGGAGCCCTGAGAAATGACAGGCCGGGCCAGGCCAGGCAGAGTATGGCACATGGTGCCACATCCATAGGTGCTGGGCCGCGGGCTGGACCCCAGCATGGCCCTGGCCAGGACTTGGGGGAAATTCCCCGGGGGTGGAGATGGGGAACTGGAGGTGTTGCACTAGCGGCTGCAGTACGCTTTGCATTCTTTATCATTTTCTCACGGTGTTTGGCAAAAACGAGAAAATTGAGCTATTAAGTGTGATAAAGTATATTGAGATTTATAATTTGAGGTGCAAAATTAAAGGAGTAGTTGTAATCAATGACATGAATCAGTCAGAAAAGTGCTACCAGGAGGTGAGGGATGATGGGTTTTTCCAAAAATAAGTCAATATTTTACAAATCTTTTCTCGCGAAAAATGATCCTCATTCATCCACCTCATTTAAGTCATCACATTACTATTTGGTTTTGCAACACGACTGCTAAGATGTAGTTTTAAATGGCTTAAATTTTTTAAATGAATTTGTCTGGAGCCATTTTCAAAAGTTCATAGTGTCCTTCAGGTAACCGAGTGTCCCCAGGGGTGCTTCTAAAGTACGGAAACACAACCACCCCCTGCAAACAGGGTTTGGGTCACCTGATGGAAAGTGATCTCTAGCACTGCTGGTGATATTTGGACAAGTCAGGTGCCAGTATTTGCTAAGACATCATGGAGTGGTTGTAAATTCTCCAGTCTAAAGGGCACAGCAAGTGCCATCCTGGAGACAAACTGCTATAAACTAACAGACATTCACAAAGCCCAAGGCAAATTCATGATTCCTTGTTTGCCCTTTAATAACAGGTCCTGTAGGTGGAGTCCTACATGTGTCCTCTCCAGTAGCACAGCCTTCCCTACACCCTGCCCAAATGGTAAGCCTTTTTGGTGAGACAGTTGTTAATAAAAGCTGAAAATGCATAGATTTCAAACATTTACTCTTTGAGTTCTTCTCTAGGTCAAGTGCTGGGGGATGGTCTATACTCACATAGACCAATTCCTCACCTCCACTGATGCTCACAACTTGTAACAAAGCCTCACAGAGCCCTAGACGTTTGCTAGCTAATTTTTATGAGGATTAATGTTCTTGTCTTTTGCACTGGCTTTTTTCTGTTGGCTTTTGTGAAGAAGCTTGGGTGAAAAGGGCTGTGTTTCCAGTCTGGTCAGTTTCTCCTACCTGCCTTCTTCCCTCACCCTCTGGAGACACCTCTGCTCCCTGCTGGTCTTTCAACAAGACAGGCTAGTTGCTGCCTCAATATTTGCTTTTATTCTCTGCTTTGCCTACAGTACTCAACCCCTACTTTCTGAATAGCTTTCTTTTTTCTGTTTAAATGTCTCTTTAACAGGCCTTGCCGGGATAGCCCAAAAGCAGTGTACAAAATATCCATCCTCACATTGTTTTTTACTTTTACCTTTTTCCCCCCTCCCCTATAGCAGTATCAGCTCTTATACATTGTGTGTGTGCAGGCACACATGGACACACTCCTCATACATTTGTACACACACACACAGCCTGTTTATTGCTTATATACTTCACAAGTATGAACACAAAGGTCAGTTGTTGTTAAGTGCTGTCGAGTTGCTTGCGACTCATAGTGACCCTATGTACAACAGCTCTAAAACCTGCTCTATCCTGTGCCAATTGCACTGCCTCTGACACACCCATCCCGATTACCTGAGTCACTGAGTCAATCCACCTCATAGAGGGTCTTCCCCTTCTGCGCCTGCCCTCCACCCTCCCAAGCATGATGTCCCTCTCCAAGGACCTCTCCCTCCTTACAACATGTCCAAAGTATGTCAGACGAAGCCTCAGAATCCTTGCCTCCAAGGAGCAGCCTGGTTTAACCCTCTCCAGGATGAATCTATTTGTTTTGGCAGTCCAGGGTAGTACATTCAATACTCTTCTCCAGCACCTCAGCTCAAAGGCATCAATTCTCCTTCTAGCCTCCTTAGTCATTGTCCAACTCTCTGATGCATAACAAGTGATTGCAAAGACCATAGCCTGTATCAGACACATCTTAGTCTCCAAAGTGAAACCATTGCTCTTCAGTACCCTGGAGAGGTCCCTAACAGCAGACTTTCCCATCACAATACATGTTTTGATTTCCTAGCTACTGGTGCCAAGCGTGTTGACCATGGAGCCAAGCTGACTGAAGTTGTTAACAATCTCAATCTCTTCACCATCCATCCTGATGCTGCCAGTTGGTCCAGTGGTGAGAATCTTTATCTTCTTGACATTGAGCTTCAATCCATACTGAAGGCTGCAGTCCTTGACCCTCTGCAGCAAGCACTACAGGTCCTCCTCAGTTTCGGCAAGCAGGATTGTGTCATCTGCATAACAAAGATTGTTAGTAGATCTTCCACCAATCCTGACGCCACACTTATAGAGCCCAGCCTCCCGCATAATCTGTTCTGCATACAAGTTGAAAAGGTATGGAGATAGGACACATCCCTGGCGTACACCTTTTCCAATTTTGAACCATGCAGTGTTTCCTTGCTCTGTTCTGACGACTGCCTCTTGGTCCAAGTATAGGTTTCTCATCAGCACGATCAAGTGTTCTGGGATTCCCATTCTTCTCAGAGTCAACCACAGTTTGTTATGATCCACACAGTCAAACGCCTTTGCATAATCAATGAAACACAGATAGGCATTCTTCTGGTATTCCCTGCTTTCAACTAAGAGGAAAACAAGATGTATTGACACAGTGACTTTAGCAATGGGTTCAAGCACATCCAAGATGGTGAGGACGGCACAGGGTAAGGCAGGCTTGAGATTCATTGTTCATAGGGTCGCTAGGAGTCTAAGTTGACTCAGTGGCATCTAACAGCGACAATATTTTTCTAAATAAAAAGTCTAAAAATCCATTCCTGGAAAAGTGATTCCATCTCTTAGTGACCCATAGAACAGAATAGAACCACTACATGGCATTTCTAAGGATAGCGGTTTTACAGAAGCAGATTACTTCATCTTCAAAGTAGCTGGTAGGCTCAAACTATCAAACATTTATTTACCAGTAAACCACGTAAACTACTGTGCCAGCAGAACTCTTTTTTGCCTAGAATGGTAGCTTATACTTAATAATTTCTTACCTTTTATAAAATATGTGCTGATCTTCAAGAAATAGTTCTTGAGTGAATATCTCTAACAACCCCTTCAGCTTGATTGCTTTCAATGACAAGAGCTCACATTTTCTCAAACATTTCATGTCACAGCATTTTTTTTCGGCTTCTGCTGAGCACCATGTGACTTGAAAAAATAAACTACATAGAAAATCAACAAGTGGAAAGGAATCAGTGGCAGTTAACATGTCGTATTTGCAAGTGGGTAAAGATTCAAAGTGATTTGGAATTTAATTGAATTTTATTACCCTCATAAAATTATAAAGTATGTATACACTGAGAGTTTCCCCTCACAATAGAAAATAATATCAAAATTACCTTTGTGCAGATGCCTTTGAATGACTATGGTAGAAAACTGTCCATTTAATTGAAGTACCTTATCTGAAATTAAAATGAAAGGAGATTCTGATCATTTCTCATACCCCTAATCTGAACAAGATTATTAGCCCTGTAGCAGAAGAAGTAAATTTTTAAGTTGGTTGTATCTCAACTTTCAAATGACTGCCAAGCCCTGTGTGGAATTGTGTGGGACCCTCTAAATTTGACCCGTAAGGAATCATGTGATACATGCGACTAAGGCTTGAAGATTCCAGATGCTTCAGCTCTTGTAACTGCTATGGTAACCTTTGTCCTTAGACAAGGAAATCCTAAGTTATCTATTCATCAGTATATCCAAACACTTAGCATAATGCCTGGCACTCAGTGAACACGCAATAAATGGCTGTTGAAATCCAAACCTTCCTCTCCATTTCCACAATCACTGTCCTAGTTTACACCTCTGTCGTTCTGGACTATTGCAGGAACCTATGTCATGGCTTTTGTTCATTCCACCTCTCCCCATACATCACCCACACAGCACTATGAACTTTCTAAGCACAGTGTATCCAAGAATACTCAGAGACTTCCTATTATGTGAAGAATACATGAAGATCTGAACCTTCCCTTCCAATTTCATCTGCAGTTTCATGCTCTCTTTTTTTTCCTTCTTGCCCTCAACCAGAATTAGTGCCTCCTACCCTCCTAGCTGCACTAAACTACATAACTTTCTCTACATACTTTACACTAACAAATGCTTCTCTTTGAGTGGAATGACTTCCTACATTTGTAGGCCTCCCACTCATCCTCAAAACAGTTTACGTTACACATTATCATAAAACTACTACAACCATTGTAGTTCAAATGTCACTTCATCTACTCCACTGTTTTGTTCTTTAGCTTTTTGTTAATGTCCTCATGCCATTGTTTAGAATCTTTTCCTACAAACACTTATGAACAAGAAAAAAATGCATGTTTTTATTAATTTCATTAAGTCTGACTTCAGCTTCTCAAAGCCTAGCGGGGAAGACAAAACACTGCAGTCATGTGCGTACTCTCCCTTTAGGGTTTTACAGTGATAGGGGAAGTGACACTAACAGGGTAAAAGCACTCTCACTCCATGTTGTCCTTTGTCCTAGATAATTGTCAATGTCCAGGCTTGCTGCTTGGCATCCCTGCCATCTTCACTGTTTTCAGGGTAAAAGTCTCAATGCTGAGTGCTCCAGGACATAGGACATCTTGAACATGTTCCCCTCTGGGGCCATTCTAGTCCCTAGGAACTCCAGACCTATACATCTTCTGCTTTATCACTTCTGCCTCTCCTTCCCCCTAACAAAAATCTCCAATTTTAGAGAGGACCAAATGGAGTCCCTCAGTAGTCCTCATAGTTAACATGTTTAGCTGAAAATTGGACGTTTCAGTCTATGCACAGGTATTTTAGAACAAATCCAGGTGATCTGCTACTGAAAATTGATCCAGTGACAACTGTAGAACATAGTTCTACTGTATCATGCATGAGGTTCCCATGAATTAAGATTGACTCAATATTGATTTAAGAAACAAGAAACAAAGACAATTTACCTAAAAGAGTGGCATTGACCAAATGTAAGACCAGACAGAATGAAATGTGGAATGTTGGAGGCATGTTGAACTGGAGGCCAGGCCCCCTGTTCAAAGGAGCGACTGTTACTCAGCTCCTCGTAATTGCGGCTACATGAGAATATGTGTTGCTGACACTCCAGAGGATTTCCAGAGGCAGTAAATTGCATGGGAGGGAATTGCACATCTTTCTTTCTCAGAGAAGCTGTTGGATTCGAACCTCATGACTTTGGGTTAACAATGCTACTCCGTAACCCAGAGCTCCATGTTACCAGATCACCTGATGTTTCCAGAAGAAGCCAGATTCTAGATTTTCTTTTTGTGATGTTTTCTGATTTTAAGTTTTGGCAACAGTTTTGAAAACTTCAGAACACTGTGCATTATAAATGAACCAATGTACCATGGACTGCCAAGAAAACAAACAGATTCATCCTGGAGAGGGCTAAACCAGGCTACTCCTTGGAGGCAAGGATTCTGGGGCTTCGTCTGACATACTTTGGACATGTGTAAGGAGGGACAGATCCTTGGAGAGGGACATCATGCTTGAGAGGGTGGAGGGACAGCGCAGGAGAGGAAGACCCTCTATGAGGTGGATTGATTCAGTGACTGGGGTAATTGGGATGGGTGTGTCAGAGGCAGTGCGATTGACACAGGATAGAGCAGAATTTAGGGCTGTTGTACATAGGGTCACTGTGAGTCGCAAAAGACTCGAGGGCACATAACAACAACAACAACCTGGAAGAGGCTCCTTTAAGAGTTCTGTTTTAAAAGAGATAAACAGAGACCAGGCAGAAGTTAAGCTTCAAGCATTTAATCCAAAACTCCCCTGAGGTAAATACCTCAAAGCCATTCTTGGAAATGGGTGGAGGGGAAAATGCAATGAGAACAAACACAGACTACTATCTTACTAAATTATCCTGTCACATTTAGACTCATCATATTGCATTGTAATAATAGTGGTTGACTCCTGCACCTGGGTGGCTGAACATTGCAGCCACACAGGTTGGCACCATCTCCAACCTCCGTTTGGTCCTGGCTGCTGTCTGTCAGACTGTTTACTTGTTCTTAGCTCCCTCTCAGATTTCCTTGACTGCAGTCAAGTGCTCTACCCCCTGAAGCTGCTTCTACTGATCCTCCCACACCTCTCTCCTTACACCTCAGACTTCTGCTTGTCTCTAGACTCCTCAGTCAGCAAAACTCCCAACTCTTCCAAGAGAATTTAGCCCTTACTCAACAGAAAGGAGCTCTGGTCACATAGTCCATAGAGAGTTGCATCGCTAACCTTTGGGTCTCAGGTTTTCAGTGGTTCAAATCCACCAGCGGCTCTTTGGGAGAAAGATGGGCAGTCTCCTTTCTTTATAATTTCCAGCTTCTGAAACCCAATGGTGGGCCACTATGAGTCAGAATGGACTTGGCCAGTAGTGAGTATCAGATATAATTCTCCTGACTCTTAACTCTTCCTACTTTTACCATCTATCTCCCTTCCCATAGAGGAAAGGGGCTATTTTCCTGTTTCCTATCCAAGCTGATCCTTCCTTTTATGCCTTTGATGGCACAAATAGTTAAGTGCTTGAAAAGCTGAAGGTTCAACTTCACCTAGATGTGCACTGGAAGAAAGGCCTGGTGATCTCACCTAAAACCTCAGTTACTAGAAACCCACCCTATGGAGCACCCTGTGACATAGGGGGTGACGGGAGTCAGAATCAATTAGACAGAAGTGGCTTGGATTTTTAGCTTATCATATTTAAACTATCTGTTAAAATACCACTCTTACTTTAATGAACTCTAGTGGCTTATTCCATAGAGAGTTTCATTGTTAACTTAAAGGCTGCCAGTTTCAATTCAGCAGCAGTTGTGCAGGGCAAAAAGATGGGCCATCTCCTGTGCAATGAACTGTCTCTGTAAACCTGTTAGAGAATCCGCTCTGACTTGGTTCAGATTCAAGTGCAATGAGTGAATGATTCCTTTAAGAGGGTGAGGCTAGACCTCTGTTAAGGATCTGTGTTCATAGGGTACTATGAGTCATAGTTGACTGGATGGCATATAACAACAGTATATCCTAACAATCAAGTGCCCTGCCTGGGACAAAGAGGATGTCCACTAAATATTTATTTAGTAAATGCCTTTAAGAAAAGAGTCTAAGGGTTGTACCACACTCCTGAAAATGTTTTCTAAAGACCCAAGTAAACTGTTAGAACTTGATGCTGCATAGGTTATTGACTTAAAGAGCAGTCTCCCCTAAATTCAAGCGTGGGCTAAATTTGGATTAGATAATCCCTGAGGGAATGCAGCTGGCGGGCCAGGGAGTTTCTCCTGGGTCAGGCTGGTGCCATCCAGCTGTGAGTTTGCTGTATTAATACTTTCTGTCTCCCTTCTCTGATTACTGCTGGTGAAGCTGTGGAAGGGACAAGGGGAAGCCTCCAGGGCCATGGTGTCACTTTACTCTGCCTCTGTCTGTCCGACTCATAGAAGAATGTCACTTGGGAAAAGATACATTAATCCTCTTATATTTCAAGTAATTTTTCTCCATCTTAAATTTTTAAAATATATATATATATATATATATCTCATACACTTCCACATACCGCTGACCCATGTACATGCGGTGCTTCTCTAAGGCTTTCTGCACATCTTCCTCTGACTCCATTTCAATTAAGGCATCACCCCTTCGTTTCCCATCTCTATTTAAGAGGAAAATCTTCACCTGTGGTAAATGATGGCGTGGTTCGTTTGCAAGGACTTCCTTACAGTTGCAATGAAAAAGACATTGTAGACTTCTTTGCAGGACTGAATATAGTAGACATTACTTTTGTTATGGACTACAGAGGACTGAGAAAAACAGGGGAAGCCTATGTGCAGTTTGAAGAACCAGAAATGGCCAACCAAGCCCTGTTGAAGCATAGGGAAGAAATTGGTAATGATACATAGAGATATTTCCGAGCAGAAGGAATGAAGTTCGAACCCATGTTGGTTCGCATAAGGGAAAGAAAATTGCGTCTTCTCCTCCTGCCAAGTATATAACTGAGCCAGAAATGGTATTTGAAGAACATGAAGTAAATGAAGATGTGCGACCCCTCACAGCATTTGAAAATGAGAAGGAAATAGAGTTGCCCAAGGAAATGTCAGAAAAGCTTCCAGAGGCTGTTGATTTTGGAGCTACACCTTCACTACATTTTGTTCACATGAGAGGATTGCCTTTCCAAGCTAATGCCCAAGACATTATAAATTTTTTTGCTCCACTGAAGCCTGTTAGAATCACCATGGAATACAGCTCCAGTGGGAAGGCCACTGGAGAAGCTGACGTGCACTTTGACACTCACGAGGATGCTGTTGCAGCTGTGCTCAAGGATCGCTCCCACGTTCAACATAGGTATATTGAACTGTTCCTGAATTCATGTCCAAAAGGAAAATAAGACTTCCAGGGACTCCATTAAAATGATGAAGCAAGAAGCATTTCATTTGCACATCTTCCTTGGACATGGGATACAAAGTTCCAGTTTATTAGTAGCAACTGCTTGAAGAAAGGACTTTGGGTATTTGGTATATTACATCTGAGAGAAATATCATAATGGACTGTTTAGAAAAGGAAAGAAGAGATTCTGTTTGAGATTATGAAATAAACCACAAATACAATTTTTGTTTAAAAAATATATATATATATAAAGAACTTAAAAAATCTATAGAAATCATCTTATATTTATTTCTTTTCTATCCTATGCCATTGCTTTAAACAGTATCTCATATCCTATTTTATCTTACCTTATGAACCTGTTGCCTTCCATTCTTTATTTTGAATTTTATATCTTAAAAATTATTTTTTATTTCATAACTGATTTGATTTTATGTTAATATCAACTTAAATTACTTTATCCTTCTCATTTCTTTTTAAATTTTACTTTATTACTCTAATCTTGATTCAGCATATTTTACAGCCCGTAATATTTTCTATTATGCATTTTAATAATTCTCCTGGCCTAAAATTTTGCCTTATTACTCCTTTAAAGTTTTCTTGTTCTTATTTCTTAATTTTTTATTTTTGATTGGCCCTAAGTCTTCTACAGTTCTTTAGTATGACATTTTAACGCTCCTTCCTTTTCTGCATCATAACTTTTCTACCTTTACTTTATTTATGTAGCAATCTGTTTATCGATCTAGTTTTAATAGATTGTGAGAAGCACATTTGAGACAAAAAAGCCTTCTCTATTCCCCTACCCCTTTCTGACAGTCATCAGTAGAATTAATATTTTTTATTAATGTTGCTTTTTAGTATTTTTTCCATAATTTAAGTGTTGCTTTTTATATAGCATCCTCTGTAATTGTTATTTGTGTATTATGTTAATAATAGTCTCTAGTTATGTTTAAATAATCTCTAGTTAGCTCTTTTTTCTTCCTTCCTTTTTTTTTAAGGAGCTTTGATGACAGTTCATAGAGAGTTGAACTGCTAACCGAAAGAGCACACTTCCTTTGCAGTTCAAATCCACAATGGCTCTTTAGGAGAAAGATGGACAGCCTCCTTCCATGTGATTTACAGCTTCTGAAAACCCGCTGCAGAGTCATCCATGAATTGGTTCCTGCTTGACAGCAATGAGTAAGTTCAGAGCTAGCTCTTTAGTTCCATGAAGCAAACTCATTTATACTTAATTCAAGTGATAAGATTCTTTTGGTTTTTTAAAAAAAAAGTACAACAGGAATTTTATCTACTCTGTAGGGCAAGCATTGCAGCCATCCTTTGGGAAGGCCTCAGAAAGAGGAACTATTGTGGAGTTAGAATAGGACACACTGGCACTAAGGAAACCCCACAACTTCTTTTTGGTAAATTAATTCCAACTCATGGTGGCTCCACGAGTTACAGTGTAAAACTGCTCTGTAGAGTTTTCTTTATTATAATCAGGAAAGTATATGGCTAGCCTTTTATTCCTGCAGAGTTGCTGGTTGGGTTTGAAGCACTACTAACCTTTAAGATTAATAACCATCAATGACAATGATTCTTGGCTGAAAGCAGAGATGACTAGAAGGATGTTTAACTGTATTTTATTGACTATGCAAAGGCATTTGACTGTGTGCATCCTAACAAATTATGGCTAACAGTAAAGTGAATGCGAATCCCAAAACATCTAACCATGCTCTTTGTCAAAACTATAACTTGAAGCTGTTTTCCAAAAAAAACAAGATTTCAAATAACATGGTTTAAAATCTGGAAAGGTGTATCAGAGTTTTATCCTTTCTCTATATCTATTCAATCTGTATGTTAGGGGAAAAATCATTGAAGAAGCTAGACTTTATAAAGAACAACATGGCATTGGGATTGGAGGAAGATTCATCAACAACTTTTATTATGTAGATGACACAACCTTGCTTGCAGAAAGTAAAAAGGACTTGATGCACTTACTGCAGAAGATCAAACACTGCAGCCTTCATTATCGATTTCTCAACATCAAGAAAGCAAAAATATTTACCACTTGACCAATAGGCAGCATCTTGATAAATAGAGAAAATAATGAAGCTATCATTGACTTCATTTTATTTGGGTCCTCAGTCAACCACCATGGTAACAGCAGTCCTGTCAAGGACCTCTCCAAAGTGCTAAGCAACAAGCATGGAAGTTTAATGACTAAGGTGTGCCTGACTCAAACTGTAGTCCTTTCAGTTACTCCCTATGCATCTGAAAGTTGGACAGTGAGTAAGGATAACAGAAGAAGAATCTATGCTTTTGAATTGTGGTGTTGAAGAGTACTTAATATCCTCTGAATTGCCAAAAAACAAACAAGTTTATCTTGGAGAAAATGCAGCCAAGTGCTTCTTATAGGCAGGACTGTGAACTTCCTTTCAAATACTTGGGCATGTTTTCAAAAGAAGCGAATCCTTAGAAAATGTCATCATGCTAGGAAAGGGTCAAAGAAAGAGAGGAAGACTCCCCAGCAAGATAGATTGGCACAGGAATTGGAACAACGGGCTTGAGCATATCAGAGCTGATGAGGATGGATAGAGCAAAGTTGTTCATAGGGTCACTATGAGTCATAGGTAACTTGATGGCACCTAACAACAGCAGCAGCAGTGGGTCACATACTTATCTGGTAACCACAAAGTCAAAGATTTGGACCTACCAACTGCTCTGCAGTAAAAAGATGTGGCAGTCTACTCTCGTAAAAATCTACAACCTTGGCAGACCGTATGGGGCAATTCTGCTCTCTGCAATAAGGCCAGTAGGAGTCAGAATAGACTTTACAGCTTAGAGTTTGATTTTGGTCTATACAATTCTAAGATAAAGGAAATTTATTCCTCCTCCCTCCTCATTTAATAAAATATTCAGAAGTTCATCCAGTTCTAATGGCAACAAATAAACAGTCTAAAATCTGAAAAAACTAAAGCAGTGGTTCTCAACACAGCCTTTGAGAAGATTTGGGACATATTTTATCTCTTCTGTTTCCTTTTGGAGAAGCTATTTCTGCAACTTTTTGAGATGAGATTGATTTATTTCTCTGCACCTTAGAATCACTTGGGAAGTGATTATTTTGGGCTTTGTATTTCTTAAAAAATGCTGTTGTGTAGATCCTCCTGTCAACAGAACTGGTTGAATTGATCTAGAAGTTGAGTTTTTCAACAGCTTCCAAATTCATCACAATATGTAGTCAAAGTTGAACTATGTAGACAAGCAAAACCAATGAAACGTATAGATAGTTAGATATGTGTGTATAAATATGTATCTATAAGCGCTTGCTGCAGAAGGTCAAGGATTGTAGTCTTCAATATGAATTGAAGTTCAATATCAAGAAGACAAAGACTCTCACCATTGGGCCAATTGACAACACCATGAGAAGAGACTGAAGTTATCAACAGTTAGAGCTTGCTAGGTTCCACAATCAACACTCTTGGCACCAGCATTCAGGAAATCAAAAGATGGATTGCATTAGGTAAATTTGTTATCAGGAACCTCTTCAAAGTGCTGGGAAGCAACGATGTCAATCTAGAGAGTCTAGAGACTAAGGTTTGCCCGATTCAGGCGATGGCCTTTGCAATTACTTGCTATGCATCCGAGAGCTGGACAATGACTAAGGATGGCAGAAGAAGAATCTATACCATTGAGTTGTGGTGCTGGAGAAGAGTTTTGAACATACAATGGACCATCAAGAAAAAAAAAGTCTGTCTTGGAGAGGGTGAAACCAAGTTTCTCCCTGGAGGCTAGTATTTTGACACTCTAACTCACATACTTTGGGCACGTGGGCAGGAGAGACAGGTCCTTGGAGAAGGACATCATGAAGGGTGGAGGGACAGCATAGGATAGGAAGACCCCAGATGAGATGAATGGGGGTAGGTGTGTCGGAGTCAATGAGACTGGCTCAGAACATGGCAGGCTTCAGAGCTGTTGTATCCTATGCTGCTCATAGGGTTGCAATGAGTCACAGGTGACTCAACAGCACATAACAACAACATATATGCATGTGTGTATACATATATATTTGGTGGTGCCATCGAGTCGAGTATGACTCATAGCAGCCCTTTGAACAAGATTTGAACGCTGTCCTATTCTGTGTCATCACATCATCTCTGACACACTTGTGCCCATTGGTATAGTCACTGTGTCACTCCATCTTATTGAGTCTTCCTCTCTTTTACTGATCCTCCACCTTTTCAAGCATGATGTTCTTTAAATAATAGCTTCTTCTCACAACATGACAAAAGTATGTGAAACGAAGCTTTGTTATCTTTGCCTCCAAGGAGCACTCTGGCTGCATCTTCTCCAAGATGGCAATCCATGGCAGTTATTCAGTACTCTTCCCCAACATCATAGCTCAGAGGCATAAATCCTTTGTCTGTCTCTCTGTCTCCTTTCTCTCTCTCTCTCTCTCTCTCTCTCACACACACACACACACACACACCCCACTAGTGACATTATGGTAGAGAGTTGTGCTATCAACCCAAAGGTGGCACCTCTCTGGCAATTTGAATTCATCAGAAGAAAGATGGATAATATCCTCCCATGTGATTTATAGCTTCAGAAAAACTGCTGGAGGGTCAGCTGTGAGTCATTTCTGACTTAGTAGCAATGAGTTTTGGGAGCTATATATATCATGGGACAAAGATGAGCAGTCTCCTCCTGTGTGATTTACTGCTTCTGAAAACCATGATCCAGATAGCCAGATGTGCCGTTATTATGTGCAGTTCAGTCAGAGAAGACCCATGGTTCTCCCTTCAGTGTGTTTTCAGAGGCTGTATGCCCATCTTTCTCTTGCACAGCTTGTTGGTGGATTTAAACCAACTGCTGTACATTGGGTTACTATGAGTCACAAGCAACTAGATGGCACATAACAACAACAAACGACAACCTTTGCATTGGAAGTACAAGTCACTACCCACGAAGATACCCATGTAAAGTGGATATAAAGCTTTGTTGCTAGAGAGTCTAAGCAGGCAAGAACTTTGAGGAGACTTCCCCTTTATCAGAGTCATTGATCAAGATGAAATTGTTAACATCTTCAGTCTTTATCTATCATAGGGTTGCTATGAGTCGCAGGCGACTCGACGGCACATAACAACAACAAACATGATGATGCTGCCTATTGGCTCTGCAGTGAGACTTTTTTCTTGATGTTGAGGCCTAATTCATCTTGAAGACTACAGTTCTTGCTCTTCTGTACCAA